AGATATTAGTTTAGAATTTCTAATTGAAATTCTTTTATTTTTAATTAGTAAATTGTTCATGTATTATTGTAATAATATCTTATTGAGATGTATCTAAGAAAAGCAAGGGAATGTTATCTTTTTTTGTTAATGAAAATTATTATTAAAGTAGGTTAGTTGTTAATAGATCTATCAGTCAAGTTGGTTATCTGTGATGTTGTATTGTTCTTGGTATCTGATTTAAGTAAGAAGTGGTATATATCGCTTAGATTCTTAATGTCACTCTTAACATTGATGGAGAAATCGTTAAGGAAAATATAAGACATTTCAATGAACTCTCTTTTAGATTTATTGCTCTCACGGTGGAGAATTGTAGTGTTCGTATGGTCCATGTGATGACCAGTGAAATGGACATGTTTGGCTAATGCACAGCGGTCAGGGTGAAGTCGAGAATCACTTTTGTGTAGTGTAATACGTGATTTCAATAATTGAGATGTTTGGCCGATGTAGGAATTGTTGCAAGAGAGACATGGAATGTTGTAGACAATATTACTAAGCCTATCTATGGGAGTCTTATCTTTTATCTTCGAATAAAGATTATTAATTGTTAGGGCTGATCTACAAGCCACATTAAGTTTAATGTTATTATTATTATTAGAAAAGCTATTTTCAAAACTTTTTAGAATCCTTGTTAACCCCGGAGTGATATCTCTGAAATAGGGTAATGAAAAATATTTATTGATAGGAGTATCCGAGACTGGGTTCCTACTTAAGACATCAGGATCAGTATTGTTAGTCACGATGGAAGGTGAAGTATCTTCGTTATGGATAGTGTTAAACAAAATCTTATTTACTAATGGTGTTGGATAAGAATTTGAAATAAAAAGTTTCAGAAGGATTTGTAGGTTTTTTGTATGAAATGATGGATCTGGTAGTTTAATTACTCTATTTTTCATCTGTTTGATTAAGTTGACTTTGGTAGAGTTATTATGGAAAGAGTGGTAGTTAAGGTATCTACCAGAATGTGTCGGTTTTTGATACCAATCTATTTTTATGTTGTTGATTTCCCTAATCATCCTTATGTCGAGAAAGGGGACGGAACAATTACCATCTTCCCTCTCTATAGTGAACTGGATGTAGGGGTCATAACTATTAAAGGTGTCTAATAGTTCATGATAATGACAAGGTAGATGAACTATTAGACACCTTTAATAGTTATGACCCCTACATCCAGTTCACTATAGAGAGGGAAGATGGTAATTGTTCCGTCCCCTTTCTCGACATAAGGATGATTAGGGAAATCAACAACACTAAAATAGATTGGTATCAAAAACCGACACATTCTGGTAGATACCTTAACTACCACTCTTATCATAATAACTCTACCAAAGTCAACTTAATCAAACAGATGAAAAATAGAGTAATTAAACTATCAGATCCATCATTTCATACAAAAAACCTACAAATCCTTCTGAAACTTTTTATTTCAAATTCTTATCCAACACCATTAGTAAATAAGATTTTGTTTAACACTATCCATAACGAAGATACTTCACCTTCCATCGTGACTAACAATACTGATCCTGATGTCTTAAGTAGGAACCCAGTCTCGGATACTCCTATCAATAAATATTTTTCATTACCCTATTTCAGAGATATCACTCCGGGGTTAACAAGGATTCTAAAAAGTTTTGAAAATAGCTTTTCTAATAATAATAATAACATTAAACTTAATGTGGCTTGTAGATCAGCCCTAACAATTAATAATCTTTATTCGAAGATAAAAGATAAGACTCCCATAGATAGGCTTAGTAATATTGTCTACAACATTCCATGTCTCTCTTGCAACAATTCCTACATCGGCCAAACATCTCAATTATTGAAATCACGTATTACACTACACAAAAGTGATTCTCGACTTCACCCTGACCGCTGTGCATTAGCCAAACATGTCCATTTCACTGGTCATCACATGGACTATACGAACACTACAATTCTCCACCGTGAGAGCAATAAATCTAAAAGAGAGTTCATTGAAATGTCTTATATTTTTTTAACGATTTTTCCATCAATGTTAAGAGTGACATTAAGAATCTAAGCGATATATACCACTTCTTACTTAAATCAGATACCAAGAACAATACAACATCACAGATAACCAACTTGACTGATAGATCTATTAACAACTAACCTACTTTAATAATAATTTTCATTAACAAAAAAAGATAACATTCCCTTGCTTTTCTTAGATACATCTCAATAAGATATTATTACAATAATACATGAACAATTTACTAATTAAAAATAAAAGAATTTCAATTAGAAATTCTAAACTAATATCTCCCCAGACTGAGATCTAACTTCATCGGTTTTACCAATGAACCTTAACGACATTCATATCAAAAGAACTACTTGTAATTGTTTCGGCGCTTGCGTTCTATGAAAACAGAAGCTCACATTCAAACTTTACAACAATTAAAAATTTAGTTATTGCCGACAATTCAAAGAATTACTTCCTTTAAATGTAGTTACATTGGGTTTTTCGATTGTCCTTGGGTAAACCTTTGCGTTTTAAGTTCAAAGCTACCATACATTTCCAACGTTCAAAAATAAACTTTTTTGCACATAGTAACAAAAAAACACCACTATGTTGTTACTAGCTAAAGTTTTTTAACATCATAACTAGACATTTCTAAAATTTCACGGTAAGGTAAATGTTTTTTATTAGATAATATATGGTAGCTAATTATAATTTATTCTCTTTCAGCCCTGAAGAAGCCAAATTCTCTTTGGCGAAAACGTTAGGTGAAATAATTGATACACATTAGAGTTTTTTTTTGCAGATTTCCCCAATATTTAAGAGTTTACTATATATTAATATATATATATATATATATATATATATATATATATATATATATATATATATAATAGTAGCACGATAATATTTGCGAATTTCCATAATTACATATCTGTTCATATGGATCTCTCATAGATCATCCCGATATTAAACCTCTTGAAAAACTTTCTATATACAATATTTTCTATTCCTTCTACTACTCTTTCCAATTATTCAAGGGGAATCAAGTTTTAAATGCTGATGGTTTCAGACTGCTACAGGAGGATTAGGAAGTAATCTATCTATACTAATTATTAAAGTGCGAAAATTAAGGATATTAAGGATATATTACCAAATACGAATTAGACCGAAGAAGGATTTCCTGGCTGAGCAATCTTTGAGAGAGGTACAGTGCGTTAAGTTTTTGATTAGGTATTGCACACTATACGGAGCGCTAAAATCGGCAACGTTGCAAATGTTCGTTCTCCGACCCGAAAATCTACGCCGACAGAAAATCATTTATTTTAGTGTAGTAACTCACAACAACGTTAGGGATGTACTTCTCTGTCGTCCGATCTCATGTTCCATTACGTAAAGCCGATTTTAATAGTAGGAAATTCGATAAAAATGCACTGACCTAATGGGTGCATTGTTATCGATTTTTATTAATGTGAAAATTTTTTTGTGGTTGAATTAAAAAAAAAGCGTATTTCTTTAAAAAGATAAAATAAAAAATATACTCTTATTGAAAATTAAAATATTATTCCTAATAAAATAAAAAATAATTATTTATGACCTACAGAAATGGTTCAAATAGTTGACCTTCTACGGCTAAACAGTACCCCAATCTGTCATAAAAACTTCTGCGAACAGATGAAAGAGTTTCTGCTGTAACAGAATTGGAGACTTCTCTTATTCGATTTTTTAATTCATCCAAATTTTGGGCTCTAACCTCAGGATGAGCGTAGATAATGCTTTTTAAATGTCCCCAAAAAAAGAAGTCCATGGGTGTAAAATCTGGAGATCGCGCAGGCCACTTAATATCGCCTGTTCCACTGATAACTCGATTCGGGAAAGTATTGTTTAAATACTCTCTAATAATTCGAGCGTTGGGAACTGAACAGCCGTCTTGATGAAACCAAACATTCTCCAGATTTACATCAGGAAGATTGAGAATAGCGGAAAGAACAAGATTCTGTAACAAATCGAGGTATACTCTACTATTCAAGTTACCCTCAATAAAAAATGGACCTATTATGTGGTCTCCTAAAATGCCAGTGCAGACGTTAACTTTTTGAGGACGTTGAGTTCGGTAAACAACACTTCTGTGCTGGTTTTCCCGCGCCCAATACCTCGTAATGGAAGGATTGTGTCTCCCTACTAACGAAACAGAAGATTCATCAGTGAATAAAATGTTTTTAATAAAATTTGGTTCACTATTAGCCTTCGTTATTAGAGTTTCACAAAACTCCATTCTTCGAAAGTAATCGTCTGAATAAAGCTGCTGCGTTTTCGAATATTTAAAATTCTTGTAACCGTGCTTTTTCCATACTTTCGTTACAGTAACATTGCTAACATCTAACTCTCTAGCAACGCTTCTACTTGAACGTGTTGAATCTACCTCGATTGTTGCACAAATTTGTGTATCCCGGTATTCTCTTTCCTCAACTTTTTCTGGTAACACTTCTCGAGCGTGACATTTTCTGCAATTTTTGAGGCAATAACAACTCTCAAAATTTTTAACAATATTATAAATTGACTGTACACAAGGAATTGGTCTTCCCTCAAAAAACACAGAAAATAAATCTACACACTGTTGCGCAGAATTGCCACTATAAAACCATTTTATTATTTGAGCTTTTTCCGCGGCCATATAAACAGACATGTTTACAAAAATAAATTAAAACTCTACGCTGTTATACCTTTAAACAACCACGGTATAATGACAATATGACAAATTTGCCGACGGGCGACGAGCAACGACGAGTCAACGAAGCAGATATGTAGTGCAAGTCGACGACGCGCAGTGTTGCCATTTATAGAGTGTATACCTAATCCAAACCTTAACGCACTGTATAATGGTAGCTCAGAAGACGTTTTCGAGTGGCTATCAACAAGATACGAATAGCTATGTATACAATATACCTACATATTGAGTATCAAGTATTGATAGAGTACTTACCTGTTTGTAATAAGACGAAAGTGAATAAGGCAGTTAAAACAGTGTAGAGGGTAAAGGATCGTTGAGCTTGCACCGGTACCGTTGCTGTGGTCAATGGACGAGACTTGCCCTTTGGGTTTGTGCACATGCCCATCCCGGCGTTCCCATACTCCCAGCTAACTTAACCTCATTACCGGGTCGTCTGAAACAAAAAAGGGGCATTCAATAAATTTTACGTTGTTGGTAAAGATAACACAAATAATATTATTATTACAAAACACTGTGTGAATGTATTTACTATAGATAATAATTTCTTTCATTAAACAGGAAAATAACGGCATACAATTTAATTGTAAATCCTTTTCCAGTCATGTAGTATGACAATTTGTGATGAATGGAGTGGCTATTAGTCAGAAATGCTTTATATTTCTGTTAATAACAAAAGTTTATATTGCTTCTAGTTACTGTATTTAAAGCCCTTTTAGGATGTGAAACTGTTAACTTTATATGTAAATATAGCGACCAGTTTAGAACTCATTTGCGGAAATAGAAATAGCAAACATTGGCAGCACACCAATTATCAAAACAAATAACTAAGCCATGGTGATCGTCGTTCATTTATTTTCAATTCCATCTTCTATTGTAAATTAAATTATGGTAGCCTTTTTGCTTTCAAATTTCCAACCTTTTTTTAAGTTTAATAAAAATAAAGTGCTTTTCAAATAGCTAACACATCAATATAGTATACCTATAAAGCACAAAAATTCCAATATATATATATATATATATATATATATATATATATATATATATATATATATATATATATTTTGAATGTGAATAATCGTTAATTATTTGAATAATGGAATTGAATTGGAGCGAACTGACAATAAAAACAAAGAAAACAGAAGACATTGTAAGCACAGATGCTAAAAAAAGAGTAAAAATGGTTAAAAAAATCTTCTTCTTTCTTTTTTATTCATTGTTTATCAATTGACGTTATACCTACATCTTTTACAAGAACATAGTTTTTTAGCCCATCTGAGTTTATATAGTGCCGCTTTGACTACAATAATATCATCCATTTCGGTATTTATTCGATGCTTAGAACTTAGAAGACATATTAGTAAGTGTGCATACTTCTAGAGAACTATAATATTTTCATTAAAGACTGCAGAATCACTTACTATAGATCAACACTTAACTTTATGGGTTCAAATCAATTATCTTATTTTAATAATTTGGTCTAGAGTAAAGAATGTTTACTGGCATAGCTAACAGTGGTAAACAAAGTTGATTTTTGCGTCTATATCTAAGACTTCCCTTCAGCTCATCCATAAAATTAGCTAACTTGGATACAGCAAAACATTGACACAATATTTACCCCACATCAACAACTTTCATGTCTTGTCCGATTAATCAAAGACAACATTCCAAATGAACAATACGGAGTTTATAAAATTCCTTGTGCAGACTGTCCCCGATCCTATATAGGCCGAACAAATCGTAGAATCCAAAATAGAATTTATGAGCATTCCACTTCTATTCGCAATTCCGACCCAATTAAGCTTTAGATCAACACCGTCTTTATACAAGTCACAATTGTGATTTTTAAAACTCTAGAACCACAGTTCCCATCCGCTTCTACAAACCAAAATTATCCGAGAAACCATAGAAATTGAAAAAAAGCCAAATTGTCTCAATAAATACGGTCACCTTCGACTTAGGGACCTCTCATAAAGAAAATATCGTCCGCTCCACTCGTTAATCAAAATCCTGCTGTCAGAAATGCACCCCATTGTCACCCATCGTCACCCCATCGTCGCCCTACGTCACCATCGACGGGATAAATGAACCGTCCTCTGTTCCCAGAACCAGTAATGCATTGGTTAGTGATCAGTGTAGTAGTATCTGGGGGCTCGGAAGCCCCGAAGAAGATATCGAAGAGGAATGAGAATGATAATCGACGCGGTTCAACCTGGAAGACTGTTGACTTTAATAATTATTATTTAGATCAGAACAAAGATTGAAAAATAACAACAATAACAACAAAAAAAAGTAAAAAGTTGTATATGGGCTTTGGAGAATATTTACAGACAAAAAAAAAACAAAAAAAACCAAAATAAATAAAGATTAAAAACGATAAATTAAGAAAAATAAGAAAGTTAAAGATAAATATTTGCAAAGACCTTTTTAAATACAACACATATGCTTTCCATGGTTTACTTTTCCAGATTTATGGCACCAAAGTTTTGTCATCTAACAATCGTACACAGCTCAGAATTTGGTATCGCGACAGAAATAAGCACCTTTTTTGTTTTAAAACTTATATGCACAAGAAAATCTACACTTTACATCAGGAAAATTCAAATTTTCTCGGATTTCCTCACTTATTTTCACAAACTAAGGAAAATTCACACATTACTTAACAAATGTAGAGACGAGATTTTGCAGCGAAGTTATTAGATGAAAGTCTGTTTTACACGGATATTATTCACCTCACTTAGATAATGAAAACCATTGTTATATCATGTTCCCTACTTGAAGAAACTTTAGAACTTAGTTTATAATACATTGATGTGTTTTTGGTGGGATGAACATCTAATCTATATATATATATATATATATATATATATATATATATATATATATATATATTATAATAATTTATTGTGTTGGAGTATCGGGTATGCGGTCTGTTATTTAAAAAAAAAAACTCTTTTTTTCTTTTAATGCTCTATATTTCGCTGATTTTTTGTCAGCTTCATCAGGAGACAACTAAAATATGGTTAAAAGTTAAATAAAAATCAGGTGAGAATAAAAAATGAATCACTTACAGATTAAGAGTTAAAAATATTTAAAAAAGTTGTTGTACATAATATGTTCAAAACACTACTGACAGTATTGGTTAAAAGCACCTAGGTCACTAGTAATTAAATATAAAAACAGAGCAAACAAAAACAACCAAGAAACAATTAAAACGCAATAAAATTACACATTAAAAATATCCAGGGTGATTTAAAATATAATAATATAATTGTAAACAAAAAAATTATTTGGACATACTAAGAATATTACAGTAGATATTGCTCAACTGTCCCGTGTCTGCCTTGTATAAATTTTTCAACAATCTTTTTTTGTAATTATTTACTTGCTGCAGAACCCTGACATTTGAATAGTCAAATTGATGGCCAGTTTTTAAGTGATGGTCAACTGCCGCACATGTATTTTTATGTTTTGTGCAGTCACTTTTGTGTTGTGTGACCCTTTGTTTTAGCCATTGAGAAGTTTGGCCAACATAACAGCTCTGGCAATCCAAACAAGGCAGTTTGTAGATAACATTAGTTATATTTACAGTTGGTGTCTTGTCTTTACTTTAGAAAACAGTTGTCGGTTTTTTAATAAATTATATTGGACAATTTAAATGTTAGTAAATTGGTGTTACACAGAAGGTGTTAACTGTTTTATTAATGGTAGTTGTATTGTTGGTACTGCTCCGATATCAGTGGGGCCGTCAAAAATGTCAGAGTTAAATATCAATTTTTTAAGGATATGTTTTGGGTATCCATTATTTTGAAAGATGTTTAACAGCAAATTTAAGTTTCTGTTTATGAATTTATTATCACTAATATGCCTTACCCTATTCTTCATTGCAATGACTGTATTAAACTTTTGATGAGTAGGATGACTTGAAAAAAGTTTAAATATCTTCCAGAGTGTGTTGGCTTTTGATACCAATCTATCAATATTTTGTTTTGTTTTATTCTTATTATTTTGGTGCCCAGAAATGATATCGAACAATCATTTTCAATCTCTAAAGTAAATTGGATAAGTTATTGAAAATGTTTAAGGTATTCTGAATTTATGAAGTAGGAACAGAACATACAAGATCGTCTACAATTTTTTTAATAAAGGTTAAAGGGAAAGGTAATTGTGGAATAATGACATCCAGCAAATAGTCCAAAATGATGGTTGCTATTATGGGGCTGAGTGGACCACCCATAGGTGCTCCAAATATTTGTCGACAGAATTTATCATTAAAGCTAAAATAGGTGTTCTCAAAAACATAGTTCAGAAGTGTTAAAAAACTATCCTTGGGAATTGTTGTATAATTTTGGATGAGATTTCATTTTGACTATATTATATTACTGACCAGATCTATTGGTATGTTAGTAAATAACGATATGACATCTAACGAAATTAAAACATAATCTTTCGGTAAAATTAACTCTCTGTCATCATTATCAAATGAAAATGTATCCTTCGCATTATAGTTGTTCACTTCGTCAAAAGCATCTTTAAGAATGTTAGCAAGAAATTTGGATAAGTGATAAGTTACTGAATTTATAGAGCTTACAATAGGTCTAAGTGGTATACCTTCTTTATGGATTTTTGGTAAGCAGTTAAGTTTTGGACAAGATGCAGTGTATATAGTCAGTTTTTTGGCAAATTCTTGATTTATTTCTAAGTTATTCCTCATAGTTTTAATAAGTTCATTATAAGAAAATTGTATCGTAATAGTTGGATCTCTTTTTAGCTGAAGATATGTAATTTTATCATTTAATAACCCTTCTGTTTTTTCAATATGTTCGGTTTCGTTCATTGCTATTTATATACATATATATTGAAAACCTCATACCTCACCTTCATCGACTACGAGAAGGCATTTGACAATGTTAAACATGATATCATGATGGAACTACTACATAGGGCCAACATTGACCAGAAGGAGATCAGAATTATTCAGAATCTATACTGGAACCAAATGGCAAAGGTGAGGATTGATCAAGACCAATATACGGATGAATTTGAAATCCGGAAAGGTGTCCGCCAAGGCTGCATACTCTCTCCGATGCTTTTTAATTTATATGTTGAAAATATATTTGCGGAAGCATTAGAAGATACGGAATTAGGCATTAAGGTGAACGGCATACCAATTAGCAACCTACGCTATTCGGACGACACAGTAATTATAACTGATAATTTGGAAGATCAGCAGTTATTACTTGATAGGGTGAATAGCATAGGTAAAAAATATAGCCTCAAAATCAACATTTTGAAAACGAAATATATGGTCATTAGCAGAAACCCTCCAGAAAACCCGATAAGATGCATAGGTAACAATCGTATAAATCGCGTGAAAACTTTTAAATA